CAACCCCAAAGTATTTAAAGTTAGCATTTCTAGCCTTGGTCCATGATACAAGGTGAACCATTTCATTCCAAAAGACTTTGCTGAGAACACATACTATGCAAGCTTTTACCATTTTGCCCTCATCCAATCATTGGCCTTCTACCTAGGGTTTTGGACCCTATATAAACTCCACTATTCCATTTTTATTCCCTGATCTCTTTCTTTGCCTCTCCAAATATTTTGTCTGCCAAGAAAAAGGGAGAAAACAACATCACAGTAAGCTCATCTCCTTCTTCAATCCAAGCCTTCATTTCTCTTCTAGTTTCTTTTAATCGTTGAGGTTCTAGGATAAGATTGTATGGTGTGTTTGGGAAGTATAGGCGGTGAAGGAGGCACTAGCTAGATAAAGAGGAAGAAGAGATCCAAGCTAGAAAAAGAACTACAAGAGGTATAACCCCATGGATTTCTTCTTGAAATTGGGCTCTATGAAGCCTTGTTTTTTAGTAGAAGTGAGTAGAATCTATGAGATTTTGTTGTGTTTATGCTTAGAAGTGATCTAGTATTTGTTTGTGGGTTGTTGAGATTTTTTTGGACTTGTTTAGTTGAGTTTTGCAGATGAGAAAACCTTCTGGTGCACACTCAGGGTGCACCAGATTAGACTCACGGCCCTAGCCGCAGCCCATCAGGAGGGCCGCCGGCTAGAGCCGTAGTGGCACGGGACTAGTTCACGGCCCTAGAGAAGGTCATCCGCCTAGTCTCGGTGGAGTAGCGGGGTACATGGGGCGGACCATGAGGAGTCCCGCCCCAGGTCCCTGATTTTGATTCTGAGAAGAATCTGTGCAGTGGCGGGGCCCTTGTGGCTCAGCTACGTGTCGTTTCGGGCCGAGTGTTACGGGCCCTTGTGGCTCGGCTCTTCGGGACCGTCTCGACGCACGTTTTGGCTTTGATTTCGTTGAAATTGGATTAAAAACGAGTATGTTATAAAGGTTTTATTGAAGATTTGCTACACAGAATATATTTGCTAGTTTACTGAGTATGAAGAATTATTTGACTATGTGATCTAATGATGTTTTTATTGAGTAGAGAAGCATGGTCATTTGAGAATATGATTTATTATGAAAGGATGACTAGATTGTGATATTTGATCAGTGTGAAATGAAGCATATTTTGTTGATAGAATGTATAGAATTTGCTATGTTGCAAACCGAGCATGACATTATATTCTTAAATATTTCATGATATTTCATACATGGATTAGAAGCATGTTATAGAGCATTTTGGCATCTCACATATGTCATATTTCAAAAATGCATAAGGGGCATACGTGAGCCCAAGTATTATTTTCAAAAACCATGAGCATGTGGTATAGCATTCTTTGATGCATTGAGAAGTAGTAGAGTTGTTGCATGCATGAGAGATATATTTATGTATTATCTATATCAGTGAGCACTACAAAAAATCTTTCGTTTCCCGACGAAAATTTTAACGACGCTCTAGAAAACGTCGCTAGATGTAACAATTTGCGACGTTATATTAAATAACGTCACTATATATTTAGGTAGAGACAATATATATTTTTTTTATAATATTTGCTGACGAAATATAATTTTATTGTCAGTAAAGATACAGAATTAATGACGTTTTATAGTAAACGTCTCTAAATATTTTTTAAAAAAATTAATTTTAACATAAAACGTTAGAAAAAGTAAAAATATTTTGCGGGAAAACATTTTTTCATTTGGCGCCCATTAAAAAACAAGCTCTTCAGAATAAAAAAAAAAAACAAAATCTATCTAAAAGTCAGCTTCACATCTCTATAAAACCCTAATTGTTCTTCCATCATCGCCCGCCCTCGGCCATCGCAGAATCAAAACGAACGAGGGATGGCACCGAAACAGGCTAATTCTGGGCTATTTGTTGGACTGAACAGAGGACATGTTGTGACCAAGAAGGAACTAGCACCACGACCCTCTGATAGGAAAGGCGTAAGTTGCTTATCAAATTTCTGATGTTAATTTATGAGTTCACTGTATTGGAGCTGTTAAATCACAGATAGATTTTCAAAATGTTATATTTACTTAGTTGTAGCATTGTTGGTTAATATTATGTTAGCTGTTCTTATGGCTTATGATTATTGATTTTGAAAAATGAAATAGAAGTTGCAATGTATGTTCGATATGCTTTTCAAATATCAGTTTGCTGTTGTAGGCTCCTAACTCTGCTCTTTCTATGCATCAACATTGCTGTAAATAATTTTTGTGAATATGTGTACTTTGACTGTTTAAAAGGGCTACCAATTCCCCCCCCCCCCCCCCCCCCCTCCCTTTCAAAATTTCCATTACACACCTTGCAATTTAAGTTTGATGTTTTATCTTTGTTGTCCAAATTTTATCTTCTTCAAAAAACAAGCAAAAGAATCCATTCCGTGAAGAGCCTGATCAGGGAAGTTTATGGATTTGCTCTGTATAAGATGAGGATCACTGAGTTTCTTAAAGCTGGAAAGGACAACTGTGCTTTGAAGGTACCCAAGCAAAAGTTGCGTACTCACAAGAGGGCTAAGAGGAAGAGAGAGGAGATGTCTAGTGTTCTCCGTAAGATGAGGTTATTCAATAATTCCTTAGATTGTTAGAGAAGAAACACTGAAAACCCACTGATTCCTTAGATTGTTAGTTTTGAAACACCGAAAACCCTCTACAACCATGCTTATATATATATATATATATATATATATATATATATATATATATATATATATATATATATATATATATAGGGTTGAGTTCAAATGAGGACAACAATATATAGAGGACTGTGAGGACAAATAATGGGCACACAACAAATTTATACCAGGCACACAACTTAATACATAATGGCACACAAGAATAAATGTAAACATCATGTTTCGAACCCAGGCTCTATAAATTAACAAATCTAGCACGCAACATACAAACTGTGGCACACGACTACATTCAGCCATGCACACGACATACCGGCTAATGGCACACACTACATATGTCCTCACAGTCCTCTATAATATACTTGTCCTCATTTGAATACACACACACACACACACACACACACACACACACACACACACACACACACACACACACACACACACACATATATATATATATATATATATATATATATATATATATATATATATATATATATCTTCGTTTCTTTTTAAACCTACTAAATTCTATTGATAAATTTTATTTTTCTTACTTATGCTAATCTGCTCCTGTTTCATCTGTCTGGAATTTGTGCAAGGCTACTAGAGGTGGTGGCAAGAAGAATTAAACCTTCTTGCACTATATCTATGGAAAGGAAGACAACCGTTTTGTTTTATGTTGAAAGTTCAATTAGTTAAAACATGAGCAGATTTACCTTTCATATGTATTTTTGTTCACTTCTTGAGACTGATATACCTAAAGAAATTTCCCTTAAAATTTCCATTGCAGTACCAGTAGCAGCAGGCTTCTATTGCAAAAAGACCGCACCGCTTCATAACACCACCGTTGTTTCCACTACAAGACCGTCGTGACACCACCGTTGTTTCCACTACAGTTTTTGGTATTAGATTAGTTTTCTTCAACTTTAATTTAATTCAAATAGTGTATATCTTTCTCATATTTTAAAGTAAAACTGAATCCAATACATGAGCCTAGCCTTAGAGATATAAGAGGGATTAATTTTCTTAGTGCAGGGAAATTGGATAAAATCTTCCAGTTGGAACACAATCTTGGATCCCCCTAAATGGGGAATCATTTATTAAAGTTGCAGAAGTACAAGAAGCAAAACTGCAGGTACAAATTCAATCATATATTGTTCTTCTTGCATTTTTTCCCTTCTTAGTGGCTGTATAAAATTTTTACATTTGCTTTGTTGTTGGTCTGGTTTGAATGAATTTACAGCTCCGCTTCTCTTACAATTTAAATGTCAAACTTTTAACATTGTGATTGTTTCTTTGTCTTAATTTTTCAATGTGCAGCCATTCTTAGAGAGCATGAGAAAGTGCCCTAAACATGGCCTACATAATCCATTTAAGGCACCAGAAAGGTATGCTACCATAATATGTCTACTTGACAAAATGCTCATTATATGATTCTCATGACTGGAATTGATTAAATGAATCTTGATAGAAATGAATATTTTCAAAGTATGACGCAACTGGCACCAATTAAAAACAAATGAGAGAAAATATATTAGCATGGTTGGACATGTTTAATATAGATCAGTGGATGCCCTAGTTAGATGTCATGATAGTCATAGAGTATAGGAACCTAAAGTTGATTTCTGGCAAGGTCTTTTGGAGTACCTGGAAATCATCTTGCAGCAGAGCCATGGTTTCCGCTGGCCTTATGGTCCTGTAAGGCATTCTATCCTGTCATTGTGATGTAGGAGCATATAATAACACTTAACCACTTTCTGTCTATTCATTTGTTTATGAAATTCACCATTTATCATGAAAGTTTGTCGTTGAAAATTTTGACATTTAGGTGGCCATTGTTAATCCCTTTAATTTTACCTTGGAGATTCGGCTTCGGCTTTGACACCATCGGCGAGGACTTTAACAACAGGTTAGTCGTTTTTTGTTTTTTATTTTACAATTGATTGAATAACAAAATTATGTGTTTTCCTCCATCTTTGAATGGTTAATTCAGGTGTGGCTCAGAATTTTGCTATGCGTGTGGAGCGAAATGGACTGCAACTCATGGTGGCTGCCAGTGATTGCCAGTGTGCATTCTACTATGGTTAAAATATCTTCGTTTCATTTCATACAATCTGACTTATAATTTATCTTTCAATTCAAGGTTTTGGAGCAGATGCTATGATTGCTTATCAAGCTTGTCAAAGATATAAAGTTGAAACATCAGCATGAATCCAAAACTGTACCAGAAGAAGGTAAAAATAAACTTAGTATTCAAATCGTATTCTATGATGCTTCTGATCAATAATGCTAAAAGAGGTAAAATGGATTGTGAAGGTTTAAGACTTCTTAATAATAGCATTGTGCTAGGCAAAATAGCTTCTTGTTTAATTGCCAAAGGGACTTCTGGTGCCTCAAGAGACTTTTACTTTTCATGCACACAAACATTTTCAACAATTTTTAATCTGCAAAGTTAGATGATGTAAATGAAGACTGCAGTTTCTCCTTGTCTTTTTTCTTTTAGTCAAGGCCTTGCAGACACTTAATTAAGGATTCACTAGGACTTCCGCTTCGTCTTGGATGGAATGGTGATCCGTGTGTTCCACAGCAACATCCATGGAGTGGAACAGACTGCCTGTATGACAAAACTTCTAATAAATGGGTTATTGATGGCCTGTATGTCCTTGATCTTATGCTCTTGATGAGTACTTTCTGATATCCAAATATATCATGCAAATATTTATTCTATACACATTCATTCATTAATTATTATAATGTAAAAATGCCTTTAATTTTTCTTGTATGATCATAATCACTCATGTGACATTTTAACTGCAATCAGTGGCCTGGACAACCAAGGTTTGCAGGGGTTTTTGCCAAATGAGATTTCCCATTTGCGTCATCTGCAAATTAAAGCATGTAAGTTATAAGAGATACAAAGTTGGAATGTGTATTTCTGTAATTACATAGGTCATTTTGAAGGTTGATGATTTTTGTTAAAGAATAAAAGATAGCCCATTCATGCTTACGGTTCTGCTTTTATCGTTATCACACAATGTCACGGTGTAATTACTGATTTTTTTACTCCATTTGTCCCATTTTATATCTCCCATTTCTTATTTATTAGTGAAATCATCTCTTCTTTATTCGTTTACTTTTTTTTTAATAGTTTTTTTTCTTTCAATCTTAATCTCTCATTGTCATCTCTTTGTTCCATTTTCTCATTGTTTTAAAGCTATGCAGTTTGAAGATCGAATTTGAATATTGTTGGGATCTAATAAGTACTAGAAAACTTCTGCAACACCTTGCAAATGACATTCATTTAGGTTCTAATTTTTCACTTCTGATACGTGACTCTATCTAACTTCTCATTTCTATTTTTAACAAGATCGTAATCCGGATTGTATATGAAAAACCATGTAATTGTCACTCAATTAGAGGATCCAGCCTGTCCATTAGCTGGAACTTGTCCCTTTTCCAGATAATGCGTTAGGCCGTTTTTTCTCTTCGCTTGTTCACACTTATGCTAGTACTTTTGAAGGCACGAAGGGACTTTAACCATTACATGCACTACTGGCGTGACACCCCGTAAATCCCAATTCTATTTAGGGATTAATTAAGTAATTAATCCTAATCTAATTGGTGATTTATTATTTAAATTCCGGAAAATTCAATAGTCGGGGACTAGTAATTGACTAGTCAACCCAAGTCGAGGTGTTGAACCTAAAGCTTTGTCAATAGTTCCCTTGTCCCTTACACTTTTTCATCTTAGTAAGGGTAAAGATGACATTACACCTCATGTTTGTATCCAAGCTAACCTAAGGTCATTTCTCATTCTTCTCCTAACACACTCAAAACATAAAACTCTTCCTTCTCTCTAGAATTTAGCTAGCTTTCTCTCCAAGCTAAGTTTGAGCTTTCCAGGATCTTCAAAGTTTGTCTCCAAGATTCCACATGTGACACCCCAAAAATCCATATTCAATCCATGGATTAATTGAGTAATTAATCCTATTTCAATTGAGGAATTAATTCCTAAAATCCTGATTTTTAATACTTGAGGACTAGTATTTGACTAGTCAACTTCAAAGTCATGTTGTACCTTGAGCTTTGAAGGGAGTTCCCTTGTTCCTTACACTTTCTAATGTTAGTAAGGGCATTCTTGACCTTTCACCAAGTGTTAGTATTGTAACCTAACCTAGAAGACATCTTCATTTCACCCCTTACACTTTCTAAAACATTAGCTCTACCTTCTCTCTAGAAAGGTGAGTAGCTTTTCCTCCAAGCTAAGTTGAGACCTTGCCAAGATTTAAAGATTTGCTTCCAAGATTCAACCTTTCACCTATTTGGGCATCTAGGAGGGTAAGATCTAAGTCCATCTTGTGTTTTTGGTTCCATCTTAGATGTCTTTTTCTTAAAGGTAGGGTCTTTATGATCTTTTGGTTTGTTCTTGAAGTGGGTTTGGAAAGTGAACCTTGTGGGGAGCTTGTTGAGGTGTAAAGTGAAGTCTTTTAGTCTACAAGAGGTAACCCATGCTCTACAAAATCTATTTTGCATACCTATATGTGATTTCTTGGATTCTACTTGTGATTTTGCTATTAAATGTGAGTGTTTATGCATTTGTCTTGCGAAAATGCATATCTAGAGCTTGTGTTTAGGGTTCATTTGTGCCATTGCTTGGCATTTCCTTTGATTCAAGTCATTTTGTTATATTGGGTGAGATTTGGCATGTTTTGGACTTGAATTTGAGCTTGGAGTTGAAAATCCCCGAAGGGATTGCTTTGGTACAGGACGTGTACCCGCGGGCGGAACGACGGGCGGGGCACCACCCGTCGCCCCACCCGCAGGTACAAGGCCTCGTGGGAGATGTTCCCGCGGGCGGAACCACGGACGGGGCACCACCCGTGGGTCCACCCGCGGGGAACATGATGAGATGATTAGGGGATTTGTTCCCATTGATTCTTTTGACTCGGTATTTGGTCTTTTGACTCCCCGTTGTTCTTTTGTGGAACTATTTGAGTGTCTTCTTGATGTTTCGTATGTCTAGAACTATATGGTAGGTATCCATGTAGGACTTTGGTGTCTTGAATCGTGCTAAGCGTTCAACATTGTGTTTCGTTGGACTGTGAAGTGTGTTGTGTGTTCCTCGGAACTATCTTTGGTTTTCCCGTTGATAAGAATGCTAGTTTGATGTCTAAATGCTAGCATGTGTGTTGTTGGTACCTTCCATTTGGTTGATGATAACTTGTGTTATTCATCGTTGTTGTTGTTGGGTTGTGGCCCATTCCTTGATTGAGTGTGTTTCATACCTTTGTTGTAATCCGTTGATTGATTCCTGTTGAGGTGTGGTGTGTGTGGCTTTACCTGGATTGCACGATTAGTGGTATGGGACACTAGTCACCAAGGTATTGCAGCGGTCCTCGTGGTGGCCGTGACGTGATTATGGAGTTGTGGCCTGAGTGATGGGTCCACGTATTTCTTGGGAAGGCATGTGTTGCCGTGTGTGTGTACCGTACCTTGTGTACTATGAAATTGGTGGCTTTGTTGGTGGTTTGTTGGTGGGGGACGATGGTCCCGGAGGGAAAAGGTTGGACTAAGAAGTACAGGGGTCCTGGAGGTAATGCTTGGAATGAAGATACAAGGTTGGGGGTAGCCATAAGGTTGGAACAGGGCATAAGGCAGGCATACCAACTCGTGATGGGTGATGTCACGAGGGCTATTGTAGCCGGTGTTGTGTGTTCTTCTCTTGTGACGTGTGTAGTCACAAAGGCATGTGTGGCCTTGGCATGTGTTGCCGGTTGTGTGAGTCTTATTCTTTCGCGTTGTACTTGTCGGGTTTTGATCTATTGAGTGATGATAGATCATACCTTGACTCTTTTGTGAGTCGTGCTGTTCTTGTGGGCTTGGGATGTGTTCCCGTGTTGTTTGTTGAGAGTGTTGAGTCTTACGTTGGCTTTGACTCTTGGTTTTACACTTGTATATATGTATTCCGTTTCGAAAATGGTTTTACAGCTTATACCTTACTTATGTATGCTATTTCACATGTATTGGTGGGTTACCAGCATCATTCGCTGACCGGGTGTCGTCCCATGTTTATCTTTGTGTTCTTACAGGTAATGTCTAGTCGAGCGCGATGTCTAGTGCCCGATAGTGTAGTATCTTTCCCTTGCTTTACGGCCTGTGAGCCGATTTAGCTATAGACTATGAGTTTTTGGATAGTTGTATACCATGCAGATTTGGCCGTAGCGCTTATCGTGTTGATAAGCGTGGCATAGCACCCCTGTTTTTGGATTCTATGTTATCCAGTTACCCTTTTTATCTTCCGCTGTGCTAGTGTTTTGTTATGTTATCTGCATGCGTTAAGGCTTTTTAATTAGCCTGTTTTAGGGGGTGTTACAGTTGGTATCAGAGCCTAGGTTTGAGCCTAGGAAGAAGTTAAGTCTAGGCTTTCTAAGTGGTTAAGTGTGGTTTGAGACCTCTAAGCGACCTTAAGAAGCTAAGTGTTAGGTTTAGGACTCTAGGTTGCGCGGTGAGCTGTGTGTTGCTTTCTGTTCCTTGCTTGTTTGCTATCTTTTGGTAATCGTGTTGTTGTAGCAGAAGTTTGCGATGCTACCCCACCAGCGTGCTGCAACGTTTGAAGACGTGAGTGAAGTGGTTAAGAAATCTCAGTTGGCCGAATCTAATAATGATTCTGGGGTGATTGAGCGGTGGATCCGGAGTGGCACGTCCACTAGGGTAAGTCCTAGTGCAGCTACCTTGCCGACGTTTCGGGGTGTAAGAGGGAATGGAAGAATAGAGGTTCATCATCCGACGGAAGGGCCACCCCAAGAGAGAATGCTTACCCTAAGTGAAGTTCGAACAAGTGACAGTGATGTAGTAGTTGGAACCTTCCTCGTGCAATCTGTCCCGACAACGATCTTGTTCGATTCAGGAGCATCTAACTCGTTCGTGTCACCCGGACTCGTGAAGAAGTTGGGTTTATCCGGGGGCACTGGAGTGAAGTTTAACGTGAAAGTAGCATCGGGAGAGGTTAGGATGTGTGACCGTCTCTTCGAGGGCATCAAGATCAACATCAAGGGAGAAGAGTTTCCCAGCGATCTAATCCAGTACGACTTTGATGGGATAGACGTGGTCTTAGGTATGGATTGGTTGGGATGGTTTAGAGCCCAAATTCTATGCAAGGATCAGAAGGTGGTGCTGCGAGGACCCAGTAGAAAAAGGGTATCTTATCGGGGAAAGACGGAAGAACCCGGGATTAAGCTAGTGTCTATGATAAAGATGATGAGGTATATGGAGAAAGGCAATGATTTATAATTGTGCTCGGTCGAGAACTTGAAGGAAAAAGGGGAGGTAACCCAGACCATACCCGTCGTCCGTGAGTTCCTTGATGTTTTTCCCGAGGAAATACCAGGTATGCCTCCTGCTAGAGAAGTGGAATTTTCGGTGGATCTTATGCCAGGCACTGCACCCATTTCTAAGGCCCCATACCGTTTGGCAATGACAGAAATGCAAGAGCTGAAGACCCAATTGCAAGAACTTCTAGACAAAGGTTACATCCGGCCAAGTACATCGCCGTGGGGAGCTCTGGTGTTGTTTGTAAAGAAGAAGGACGGTAGTATGAGATTGTGTATCGACTACCGGGAGCTGAATCAAGTCACCATCAAGAACAAATACCCTCTTCCAAGAATCGACGACTTGTTTGATCAACTCCGTGGCGCAGGAGTGTCTTCCAAAGTTGACTTGAGGTCGGGGTATCATCAGATAAAGGTGGTTGACAAGGATATTCCTAAGATCGCGTTTCGGACTTGGTACGGTCACTACGAGTTTGCAGTTATGCCGTTCGGTTTGACTAACGCCCCTGCAGTTTTTATGGACTTGCTGAACAGGGTGTTCAAACCCCACCTCGATGATTTCGTGATCGTATTCATTGACGATATCTTGGTTTATTCAAAGGATGAGGAGGAGCATGTTGGACACCTTCGGACGGTACTTCAGATCTTGAGGGAAAAGTAGCTGTACGCCAAGTTTTCTAAGTGCGAGTTTTGGAAAGACAGTGTAGCGTTCCTAGGCCACGTGATTGATAGTAGGGGAATTTCTGTGGACCCGGACAAGATATGGGCAGTGAAGGATTGGACCGTACCTACATCGGTAACGGAAGTAAGAAGTTTTCTTGGTTTAGCAGGTTACTATAGAAGGTTTGTTTTGGATTTTGCCAAGGTGGCTCAACCGTTGACTAAGTTATTAGGGAAAGAAGTGCCTTTCGTTTGGGATCAAGCTTGTGAGTTAGCATTTCGAGATTTGAAGGAGAGGCTCGCGACTGCTCCAGTTT